TACAATAAAGTCAACTAGCTTTTCAACTGACTTCAAAGGCCTGTGAATACTTGCCTTTGAAAAGAACAGCCTGCTAGGCCAAATGCATTTTCTCAGTCCCTGGCATCCACACAGCATGGCTGGATATTAAGATGCTGGAGTGGAGAGGAAATCATTTACTCCGTGTCCCAGTATAGGCATGGAGGTGGTAGAAGATGACCCTTCTAACCTAATAGCCTTTCTGGTTAAGCACTGGCAACAGAGACAGAAAAACGCTTGATTTCAGAGATTAGCACAGGTGAAATGACAAGTATCAGATGTACCATTCATAAGCTCTCTTCATATAAGATTTCTTCTCTTGACTGCTCTGAATCACAAACAGTGTGAATGGCTCCTCACTATGGAGTATGTAGAGAAAATATTCAGCAGGGCATTGAAAGAGGATGACTTCGATTTTGCCTGTTTTAGTTTATTTGGTTAAAAAGAACCCAAACCTGAACTGGCAGCTTACATGGAGTTCAGATTAGATGAGTGACATCTGTCCCATCGGAAAGACTCTCCAATGTCCCCCTGTTAACATAGCACATTTAACGTAATAATGCCATTGTTACTGGCTCAGGACAGAAAGGGTTTCTCCTGAAATCCTCTTAAAGCAAAATAGTGAATGTATTAAATGAGACTTGGATATAAAAGATGGGAAATTCTTAGATGCTGTTTCTGGCATTTTGAAGACTTAGCAAGCGTGTGCAGATGTGTGACTCTGACAGTTTGATTTATAGTGTGATAAAGTCTGATAAAATCCTTACGGCTATATACAAAACACAAAAGAATTAATTCATCATGTGCCAAAGCTGGAACAAAAGGAGAAGCTGGATGCAAAGAATCATGTTGTCATTTTATCACATTGTATTAGCCAGGCAAGCTTTAAATGTTAGAATACTGGTCAATTATTTAAGAGCAAATTGTTGCCCAAGAAGGAACTTACAACTAAAGCAATCCAAGTCAGTCTCTTTTGGAATTGCTTTCTGTTCTGTTTTTTTCCTAGGATCATATTTGTATCAAAGTGAAGTTGCCTCCATACGGGAAAAAATGGAAAGTTCCGTTGTTTTAGAGAAGGCAAAACTGATCAAATTCTAGCTCCAGTTACGTACTTGCACCTCCACCATCCTCCAAATCTTGGAATACATGTCCCAGTGGAGAGGGTCTGCTGGAACAGACAGCTAACTATTTCATTATCTGTTCAAATTAGGACTTTATTCCAGTAGTAGTTACAAATGGATTGAGCCTCTGTTTGAAATGGATTATTTCTTGACAGAGACAGAGAGCCTTTTGTTTTTGGAAGATGCCATATTTGGTGATGAGACTGTGACTACAAAGGGGGAAATAAGTCTATACATTGTTCCTGGTATTCTTCTAACGATACCTTACTGTGAATGTATCAGAAGAATGAGGCGTTTAAAGTCACTTAGCTGTATATTGATTATTCATGAATTTGAAATCACTTAGTGCATATTGATTATTTATTTTTATCACATTATGGAATGGCATTCTTGTTTTACTACAACAGGTTGGCCTTTCAGTGCTAGGTTTTTAAGCTACTGCTCTCAAAGTACATTGCAATGGAGATAAACATCAGCTCCACTTTATAGATGGGGATGAGGATGGCTAAGAGACTTGGTCAAGACTGTGCACAAAGGCAGGGAAACATGGTCTCCAGGCTCCCCGGGTATGTCTGTACAGCACAATGATACCCAGGCAGCCAAGGATGCTGGAAGCAGCATAATTGTATTAGCATAGGGTTCCAGCTGGGTTAATATACCCTGCTACTCAGTGGGGTTGATTAGTCCTGGCAGAGTGCTGCGCTAATGCAGCTTTCCCACTTCCAGTTATGGAGCTAATTCAGAGACTTTTTGGTCTATTAATATTTGTCTTGTGTAGCAAAATTCAAAGCTGTAAAATTGTTACCTACCCCAGCAGGACCTTCTCAAGCCTGTTCATTCCAGTCACCAACATAAACCAGTGGTTGCTATGTTCCTAAGAAGATTTTTTTTCTTTTTTTGTCCCCAGCAGGTGACACAAATGAAGGTATTTTGGAACAGATGGAAACTACTTACTGTAAACACATTTAGCGGTCAAAGCCAGCTGATCTTACTCACCTACCTAATAAAGTCAAGGGAACATTTTTGTGGGTGAACTGGCTAGGAATTGACCACAGTGGATCTGTCAGACACTACAGAACGCTGGCCAGGACCAAACTCTGGGGACTTTTAAGAAATAGAGAGAAAGATGAATAAATGAATACAGTTAAATGATCATTCCTACACCCGCAATGTAGGCCAAATAGTTTCTGACACCTCAGGCAACTTCAGGCATAGATTTTCACATGGAAAGTCTAAAACACAGCATCTGGCCTCTGTAACTCCTAACCTTTCACATTATTGCCCTCGGGTGGGAAGTCAGAAGCTTGCTACTTCCCTCTGGGAGATCCCTTTTTTCCTTCGGTGACTGGTACTTTGGATGGCAGCGCACTTTGTTCCCTCTGTCAGCTGAGATCACCACGCACAACAGGGCACTTGCATTCCTCTATATTCCCATGCCAGCCTCTTGTGTGCCCACTCTTGCAGGGGCTGTGTGTGCACCCCTCAGGCACAGAGGCTTCATGTCATTGTCTCATCTCCCGACCCTAGTCACTGTGCATGCCCCCCATTCCACCCCTGGGCAGGGCATGTATTTATCCTCTATTTTGTCCTTCACTTGACCTATATCCCCCATTTTCCTGCTTTACCCAAAGTTTTCCAGGTGCCCCTTTTTCCCTTCCACCAACTTCTTTTTTCTGCCTGGGATATAAGTAATTCAAGGCATCAGTATTTTAAACAGAATATGTTTGTTGGACAGAGTTGAAACAGAGTTGGGCCAGGAGGCACTAATAGCTGCCATCAACTGGTTCTTTGATCTATAGATATTCTCAGAGCTGCTTGAAGCTGCTGACTCAGATAACCAGATGCAAGAGTCTTCACGCATCGCCCCGTTTTCCTTTTCTGGTTTGCCAGTTATCACCAAAAGCAAATGAACTCTGTCCATTGATGCCTAGATTCATAGATTCATAGATTAAGGGTCGGAAGGGACCTAGTAGATCTTCTAGCCCGACCCCCCGCCAGGGCGGGAGAACAACAAAAAACCCCAAAAAGAGAAACAGTCTTGGAAATTTTGGAATTGATCAGATGCAACTGAAAAGTTATAATGTTACTTACTGATGGACCAAATGCCACTGAGTTTGAGCAAGGCCTCATATGCTTAGCTAATGAGGCCCTGCTCCGTGTAGGGGCTGAGAGATGACAGGGTCAGACACCCCCCACCTGTGGCACTATGCTTGTTTCTGCAGGAGAAGCCCCAAATATGAAACGATGACACACTCGGTACGGACAGCCAGACCTGCATGGCTGGGAAGGGGGAAGGGAAGCTGTGTAGGTAGGGATGCCAACCCTCCCGGACTGGCCAGGAGTCTACCAGAACCGGCATTGATCTCCTGGTGACTACTGAAAGCAATCCAGGAGACTGATATTGTGAATGGATTGAACGGTACATTTAATGACACTTATGTCACATCATTTACGTTCAGGAAGAAAATCTCCCAGAATAGCTTCAGTCAGAGTTGGCAACCCTATGCATAGGGAATTCTGTAGTGCCTATTTCAGGAGAAGTGGAGTAAAGGGGAGTAGGGAGAAGAGTGCTATAGCAGAGCTATGCAAGCATCTTACTGGGACTGGAGACTTTTTAGGCCACTGGTGACGGATGTTGGCCTGCCTTAACTAAGCTAGGCCATTTGGGCCCCTAACCTCAGGAGGCTTAGAGAGGAAGAGAACAGAACCTGGTATGAAACCTTGGAGGTTTGAATCAGCCACTGGCTGCACACTGGCACCAATTTTTCACCTCGCTGGTGGCTCAAAGAAGGCATAGGTCTGGCCTTGCAAGCTAAAATGGAATCGCTCCCAACAGGGTAGTGTACACGCAGCCTTCCAATCCTCTATCCCTATACCTCAGTGCTGTCTGCATTTTCTGCAGTAAAGACCTGCAGCTGTCACCTGTCTGAACTACCAGCAGTAGCCAGTGGCAAGGCACACAGGCACATTATATACGAGCTTCATGAGGCAGGATAAGAAGATATCTGCACCAGATACAAGGAACCTGCTTTATAACCCTTGCAAGCAGCAAATGTCCACTTGACAGCAGAAAACGGTGCTGAGGCAGCACCAACGACCTGAAGCTAAACAGATGTGAACTAAAAAAAAAAGAGAGGAATTGTTACGAGAACTTTAAAAGCAACAATGGTATTTCCCATAGCCATAGGGTGATACCCAGTAAAGGTATCTGGCCTAAACAGAAATGCTGGCCTATGGCATGCTCTCTGATGGTCTGTGGACTAGCTAGCCATATAGTTTTGGCATTCCTCATTAATTCCAGCTGTTCAATTATAATAAATCCTTTCCTAATACTACAGAAGCCAATTACTTAGAATTAGCTAATGGGAAAGGAAGCAGTCTTTACAATCATGAATGAGGGACGGCAAAATGTTAATAGTCCATGAAAATATGGTGCATGTTATAAAAAAGTTGACTAGGACATCTGGGTTCTCTTCCTAACTTTGCCACCTGCTCAGCATCTGACTTCGGGGAAAGCCGTAAGATCAACTAATCTGGAAAAAACCAGAAATTATCATGCTGGCCTATTACTATTTGTTCATTTAGAGAGCCAAAAAAACTGTGATCAGCATTGTTCTGTTCTTTTCATTAAAGCGAAGAGAGACCAGATCTGCATCACAGAAGCCCTGGAAAGACCCTGACATTCCCTCAAAACAGATAGAATCTAAAAATTAGACGTGACAAACAGATGGATCCAGAGCCCACTGCAGTCAATGGAAAAGCCTCTTATCAGCTTCAGTGGGCTTTGGATCAGGTCCAGGAGAAGAGATGGTCACAAAGGATGTGGAGGGATCTACGAATGAAAAGCACGATAAAAGCATTGTTTGTCTTGCTGCAAACATCCCCCAAAGACTTCCCATAATAGCTCAGAAAAACAAGAGCTGTCATGCTGGATCACTTAAGTAAGAGCAGCCATTAGCCTCGTCTCAATGGTGTTCCAATCAATACAAGATAAATGGTCATATGGATTTACTTTTTTTTTTTGCTCCTTATTCTTTAGTTTATTAAAGAAAGCCACTTCTTTTATGTCTTTACATAACATCATCTACAGCACTTACCTTTGGCACTCCGATGATGGATGGTCTGGGGATGTGAGTGTGGATCACAATGGCTTCATGGTTCAGCTCTTGTGCAAGAAACATAGCTGAATGTGCTGTAAGACGTGCAGACCGAGCAACCAGATGATTACTTGAATTGCTGTTTGTGCCACTGTGTTTCTCCGAGTAGTTGCTGGCTTTAAACATCTCCTCCATGGCCTTCTCTCTTTTGTGACTCATGCTATTGCCTATTTTTGCAGATGGCTGCAGGCAAATTGTTGAATTGGGCTCAGCCTTTTGCACCTCTGCTGCTAAGGGGTTTGTGTCAGGTTGGTCAAATGGAGTGGTTTCTCCTGTGCTTCCGAAACAAGTAAGCAGAGCCGAACACGGGAACGGATGCATCTTGAATAACAGGATATTCTTTCCACTTAACCTGCTTTCCACACCAGCATAGTTAGCAGCCAGCATTCGTGCCCTAAAGAGAATCAAAAACAAATGCAGGTAACATAGTATCACTCCCGTCCTCCTAGAGGGTATATCCCCTTCTCTGATGACCAGAATATCCCAGTGGCTTCTCTAATAAGCCAAGAAGCCGGAGTCTGCATAGATATCCCCTAAATCCTCTCCAGAAGTCAGCCTGGTAATCTCCTCGTCTCCACCTGCTGCAATGGCCTTTGGCTGGGAGAGGTGTAGGCACAATGAAAATGTTTGTGACCGTCTTGTGCTTTCTCCTAGACCTGTCAGCAGTTAAACAAAGCTCTCCCTCAAACAAATGAAAAACCCCCCCACCATATCCATGCCAGATTATGGTTACAGGGAAGATGCTTCAGCATTAGACAGAGCTAAGTCAGCTCTGTGGCGGCCTCAAGTTACCTGGCTATAGAAGAAAAAAGATAATGTAGCATGATCTCCCCAGCTATAATAACATCAACTTGTGTATCAGTGTCATCATTACAATAGCATAACCAGCTCCAGTTACACAGCTCAAATATTTACTAACAAAGCAAAGAATTGAAAACTTTTTCTGTCCCGAATGCAGATGATAATGTGTACTTTCAGGATCTGCCAGGATCATTCATTATTAACAAAGGAGGCTGGTTGGGAGCTTTTGTCTGCGGAGGGGAATAATTAGGTCCAACATCAGCCTCTCATGGTCAATTATACCCCGCGTGTCTCCCGACGCACCACTGCCTGCACACATCGGGGCCCCATGCTTACAAACCCTCCTCCTGTGTGTCGTGGAAGCCATGAATAATGCGCCCCTCATTTCTTTTTTATTAATTTATCTACAACTTCCAAGTCCTCTCAGAAAACACCTGCCGTTCTCTCTGACTTTCATCTCCCTGGGGAAACGTATAAAGGGGAAGTGTATCAGGCTGGGAACCCAATGCTCTCAAAACTTTGTGTAAGGGAAGCTGTTTTCTTTCTCAATGTTTTTGACACTACCCACTGAAGCAGATATGTTTCTGATGAGGGAGGAAGGAAGGAAGAAGACCTTGTGGCTAAAGCACCTGCCTAGGACTCAAGAGAGCTGAGTATCCCTGTTCTGCCACAATTTCCTGTGTGGTCTTGGGCAAGTCCCTTAATCAGCCTGTAACACAGTTCCTACCTGTAAAATGGATGTAATAATTAATCTTTTTACCTGTCCATCTACTGTCTCGTCTACTGCCAACAGACTGTAAGCTCTTGACACCAGAAACTCTCTTTAACTATTCATTTTTAAGAGCCCAAATCTGAAATGGAGCCCCTCAATCTAAATAATAGCTTGATATAAGAACATAGACAAGATACTTTGCTTGAAAAATTCCAGGATCTTCCCCTCTCCTACAGGGCAGAGCCGTGGCTTGTCAGGTGTTGTGTTCACTGGATGTCCTATGTGCGATGTTTAACACCAAGTAAAAACATAAAACAATAACAGACCTGAAAGAGAGGCTCAGATATGCACTCTCCATCAGTGAGTCAACTTACAGCAACTGGGACGCAAGCAGGTGGGTTTTGAATTTCTTTTGCTCTCCACACAGGGATATGATGTCAAACATCTCATCTCATTACAGCCTTGGAGACTTTTTGTCCAGGTGGGAACCGGCAGGGCACCCAGTGAAACGGAGGGTGTCTCCATCACTAGCTTGAAGCACATTCTTGATCCCTTTTCAGGCTAAGAATCGCACTTTGCCGCTGTCTTTTGAGTGAGATTTAAAATCAAAATCCCAATTGTTGATACAAAAAAGAAAACATACTCTCGGGACTTTGACACAAGTTCTCTTAAAACCAGGTATAAGCCTCCCTCCTATCCTCCCACCTGGCTACTGTCTCCACGCCTCCGCTCTCCAGGCTGCAAGTCGCAGCCGTGCAGGTCTGAAACGACAGGAAGCGTTCACCTGTGACTGCTCTAAAACCGCCCTCACTTTATGACATCACAACATGGTATTCTGGCATTATACAGGGAACCTGTGACAAAGCCCCAAGATGTTAATGAAGCACCTGGAAACCAAATGTGCACCCCCAAGAGAAAGTAAGCACCGAGAGAGCCACCCCTGCACATTTTATAAGAGAAAAGAGGGGTGCAGACCCTGGTATTCTGCTCACACTCCCATTTGGCTAATTATATGGTCTATCAAATGTCCCACTGCAGTCTCAATTCAATACAGGACCCTTCACTTCCTTTTTTAAAATATTATGTAGTAAGTGACTTCTAGGTTTGCTTTAGAGTTAAGGAAAGTTTTTCTTTTATACAGTTTGTCAGCTTCTATAATTATTTGGGGCTTGATTTTGGAATAGACTTAAACTTGGCATGGGCAGAAAGCACATTAACATGGCTAACTACCTCCCCCCACTCAGAATAACACAGTTTTGTGGCTACACCTCTAACCCCCTGATTTTCAGAAATAATCAGAATGTGCCAAGCAAAGAGATATAGATGGCTGGTGCTTATAAGGGCTGATTTCCCCAACCTGAGGAAAAGTATGAGTGAGATGGTTGGGAAGAAACCTGTAAAGGAAAAATATTGATCATTTTTTGAAGTTCTTAAAGAAGAATGTGTTACGTGGCCAAAAGTTACAATTCTACAATGAAGGAAAACAATTTTGGCTGGAAGCTTGTCCTGATTCATTAGAAAAATAGAAAATAGAAAATAAATATATGACAAAAAGAGAAAAAGAGAAAATATGCAATCTGAATTAAAAGCTAGAAAATATAGAACATGGCTAATAACATTGCTAACATCTGGTGGTAGTCTTATGTAGTGTTTAGATTATGGTTTATAGGGGATGGCTTGGATAGAGATGATTCTGCTTCAGGCAAGGGTTTGGGTCAGATGAGCTCTGGAGGTCCCTTCCAGCCCTAATTCTCGATGACTGTATGGGCACATCTACATGTTGGCCTATGGCAATGTAGCAATCACATGAGTCTACACGTGATTGCCAGCTAGGTTGCCATAGCAGCGTGTTACCCTGGTTTTGCGCACCACAACAGCAACGTAGTGATGAAATCTAAGCATGCAATGCACACAGCACAGTAACCACCCATACTTTTGGAAGTGCTAAAGCACAGCACCCTAGACACACCCTATGACTGTGATAAGGGAAGCCAAATACATTAGGGAGAAATCTCTGCCTGGTAGTGCTTTCTGTACATATATTAAAAACAATAAAATCTTAACAATGGTATAGGGCTATTATTAGATAGACATGGCAAAACTGTTAATCCTGCAGAAAAGTAGAAAAAATATTCAATAATTATTGCGTTTAGCATTGGGGAAAAAGTTGGATGATATTCCTTGTATTACATAAGGATGGTGAAGTCCATCCAGTCTATTAGCAACTAAGCTTTTATTAAACAGGATCTATTAAGGATAAAGATTTTTATGCAAGTAGACTGCAAGAGCCCTAAAAGAGTTGGCGCACAAAATTTTTAGTCCGCCGATGTTCATTTTTAATAAGTTTTGAAATACCAGGGAATTGTTAGACTCAAAAGACAACTTAGAAAATGTCAGTTCTTATAATAATAGACTTGCACTATTATTTTTTTCCATAATCAGAAAACAAGTTGTTCTCACTTGTTTTCTGAATATGGAAAAAAATAATAGAGCAAGCCTTCTGTTGCAAAGAACTCAGAAAGTTCGCAACAGGTCAGAATATTTTTCATGCTATGGATTTCTCTTTGATATCTCTGGGTTTACCATGTGAATCATGTGTAGTGGTTTGCACACCTAACAATGGTTGAGAATCACTGTATTAAATACTAGGACAATGTAAACCAATCAACATAGTTTTATAGCAAATAAGCCCTGTCAAACAAACTTGATTTCGTTATTTGATGGGATCAGAGGTTTAGTTAATTAATTAAGAAAAAAAGACTTGAATAGATGTCAGACACAAACTTTTTAAGGTATTTGGTTTATTATCCATCAATATTCTGATTTTAAAAATATCACTATACAACAGCAATTAAAGAAACACTGAATTGATAAAAAACTAAGACATCTCAAAAAAGACATGATAGAGAATCATTATTAAATTGGGATTATTTGTATTCCTATGTGTCTAACTATGCCCAGCACTCTACAATGCTGGGCATGGCCAGCTTCCTGGAAGCAAAAATAAATCCACTGATGGCAAAGAAGTAGTGGAGTAGTCAACTGCATTGAGGATGGAGAATTCATATATATCTTTCTGGACTGCTTGATAAATTGTGCTTTGAGACAGCCAAAGGTTAAGTCAGAAAAGGCTGAAAAAATGAGGAAAGGTTGGAAGAACTGGGATTATATAGTCTGGAGAAGAGATGACTGAGGGACATATGTGATACAGTCTTCAAATATCTGAAGAGTGCCTATAAAAAGGATGGGGATGGTCTTTGGGTACAGGGTAAAGAACAAGGGTCTCAAATTCAAGCAAGGGAAATTTCAGATGGAAGTTAGGAAGAACTTTCTCATGGGTAAACACTGGAACAGGATACCCAGAAAGGTTGTATAATCCATCGCCATCCTTAGAAGACTTTAAGATCCAGTTAGACAAACATTTGGAGGTTTGAATCAGTCATTGCTGCTCACTGGTACCAGTGAGCAGCCAATTTTTCACCATGCTGGTAGCTCAAAGAAGACACAGATCTGGCCTTGCAAGTGAAAGTGGAATCGCTCCCAATAGGGTAGTGTACATGCAGCCTCCCAACCCTCTACCCCCGTGCCTCAGCGCTGCCTGCATTTTCTGCAGTAAAGACCTGCAGCCATTACACCTGTCTGAACTACCAGCGCAGGCAGCATCAAGGCACACAGGCAATCGCATTAGATATGAGCTTTATGAGGTAGGATAATGCGATGTCTGCACCAGCTGTAAGGAACCTGCTCTGGAGCTGCTACTATTGGACCCTGGCAGGTAGCTAGTGTCTGCTTGACAACTAAGAACAGCGCTGGAACCAGGCAGCACTGAGTTAAACAGACATGAACAAAAAGAGGGGAGGACTTGTTTCAAGATCTTCATAGGGTAAGAATATCATTTCCTATATTTGGCAATACCAGTAAAGGTATCCAACCTAAAATTCTCATTACTTCAATGGATACACGCATTGAAATATGTGCATGTATCAGAATACACATCATACGCTGAATCACAGATTTCTATAGAATACCCAGAGAGGTTGTGACTTGGGTGTTTTAATCAAAGATGATTCTTGCCTTGAGCAGCAAGTTAGACTGGATGATTTCCTGGGGTCTCTTCCGCCCCTGCTATTCTATGACTCTGTCATGTATCAGGGATCAATGATTGTAGGTCATTCCTACAAAATGGAGAAAAGTATCCTGGAAAACAGCATGTCTGAAAAGCATTTAGGTGTCCCAGTTGTCAAGCAACACAAGAACTCCCAGTGTAATGGCGTGACAAAACAGCTAACACGATTCTTGGATGCGTAACAAGGGAAACTGCAGGTAGAAGTGGAGAGGGGAGGAGTGTTCCTTTATATGGCTGTGATGAGACCAAACCAGCATACTGCAGCCAGTTCTGTAGTCCATTTGAAAAAAGGTCTTTCAAAAATTGGAGAAGGTGCAGAAAAGAGCCACAACAATTATTTGAGGGATGGATAAAATACCTGTGGAGCTCAATCTGTTTTGCTTATCGGACGGAAGACTGCAATGTGCCTTGATTACAGAGTCCAAGTGCCCTCCTAGGGAGAACTCCTCAGAAACAAAGTCTTCTTTAATCTAGCTGAGAAAGGAATGAAAAAAATGAAAAGACTGAATCTGAAGAATTCAATTTAGAAATTAAGCACAGGTTTGTGAGAGTGAAGGTGCCTAATTAACCACCAAAACAAATAATCAAAGGAAGTCATAGATTCTCCATCTCCCCATAGTTTCAAATCCTAAACGGATGTCTTTCAGGAAGATATTTTTCATTGAGCACAAGTTATTCTTCTCAATAGGTAAAGGTAATAGGTAAAATGTCATGGGCTGTGATGTCAGATGAGATGACTGAATGGTCCCTGCTGGTGCTTAGCAGCAATAGGACGATCTAAGGCCAGCAGGCTAACCAGACTTAATTACACTTGTCCATTTGTGCCACCAGTTACTTCATATCTCTAAAAATCGAAAGGTCTTTTTCAAGACATTTAAGTGCCTGGATCTAGCTTATGATCAGTCCCCCAACCATAAAATGGGAATAAGAGCTCTTCTTCAGAAGGGTACTGTAAGAATAAATGCATTAAATATTGTGAATTGTTCAACACTGTAGTCAAGAAAGCCCTCTCATACCAGTGAACTCCAAAAGTTCAGTATTTAAGCATGGTTATTTGTCTGAGTTGTGCAGACATATCGGGTATGTGGACCAGGCTGGGAATGTCAAAACAACAAACCTTTTTCATGGGATTTATGGTGCCTCCCTTCCAGCCTGAGCCTCAGAAGGACAAAAGGGCCTGGGGAAAATGGCTTGAAAGAATTGACTAACCATTCCAGACCCTTAATTTCCCCTTTTGGTTTGAGTCTAAACATAGGCAAACACTTGGAGGGATCCTCTGTTTTCACAAACCAGTGTACCCATGCCTCAAAATATTTCCCTATTCATTTTTCTGCCTAGTACGTAAGTTGAGGTTGGGCAAGTCATTTTTTTTCACTCCCTCTGAAGTTTTCCATGCCACCTTTCCCCTTGGCTGTGTATCTGGTCTACATATTTTATATGATGGTACACAGGAGCTAAATGTGGTACTGTAGAGTACAGGCTGCTTTTTCTTTAGCGAGTGAGAATACTGATGGAGACTGGGACGTGCAACAAACTCTGGTCACAGGCATATAAGCTTCATGGTTCTCGATCACAGCCTGCAGCAACAAAAGCGAAGAGCTTTGCCCAATAAGCTAAAAAAAGTGCATATTTTTTAGGTAGGAGCAGTAGTTAAGTAGATTTAAATAATGTTTTTTTTAAAAGCCTAACCAAGGCTCCAGGTGTTCTCACACATCATTAACTATACTGTACAATCCCAGGAGAATTAAAACAATTATTTCAGCCAGCCAGCCAGCCATCAGCAGAAAGCCTCCCCCCAGCTTTTCCAGCTAATCTTATCCTTAGTCTGCCCTAGGAAACTTCAGTAGAAGCCTCTAGGAAAGCCTTGGTATTTAACAGGCTCTGCAAAGCAAGTCACAAGTCAGGCGCTGAGCATATACTTTCAGATGGTTTCCTATGTCTGTTTTCCTTTGACATAGCACATCTGCTAACATTATGCATAGGCCTGCATTATCTCAGAGTAGGAAACGCCTTCTTTAGTTGCCTGTTCCCTCTCAAATACAAATGTGCATCTAGAGCTGGTGAATACCCTTCCAGTCACCTCCCAGGGTCAAATCTGTAGTTGGTGCAAGCCAGGGTAGAAGCATTAAAATCAGTAGCACTGTGGCAATTTACACTAGCTAACAATCTGATCCTGATTGTAAAAATATAAACACTTTGGCAAGTTAAAAGTTCAAAACAAGTAGCATCTGATAGGTCTAACACAGCCCGGTTCTGAGCACCGGCATTCAGGTCTGGGGCTGAACTTTCTCAGAGCCTGGCAGTTTCAAACTGGACACATCTCCACTGCTCACTTTAAAGACATGACTCGGTGGGTACGTCTACATGAGCTGCTGACTGTGCAGGAGCCGAAAAGTATTGCACAGTAGTGTGTCACAGCATAAACAGTGCTAATACACTATTGCACAGTATTAGTAGGCTACAGCGTAGTAGCATCACCTAAAAGATGTTTGCCGGTGCTACTGAGTACTAACTCCGGTTACTGCACATTTATCTAGTATTTGCAATAAATGCACAGTAACAACTGTGCAGTGGCATCTCGTGTAGAAGTGCCCAGAGTTTATTTCATTAGCACAGATCTCCTCACA